TGGAGGTGTAGGCACCTCGGAATGATTGTGTTAAGCTAGCACTAAGTCCCTCCCCCATCCACCTTTACTCTTTTCTTTACAATAAGGCCTTCAAATAAGTAATGGTTGTACGGCAGTGAAGCATCGGTGTTGAACACTGACGTCATGCTGTCGATGATGATGATGATGATGAGTGTTAAAGTAGGGTCCAATGTGGACGGAAACTCAGGGACTGCGCCTACTCCATGAGCCCCAAGAAGCGCGAACCCTGTCATGGGTGGTCGAGGAGTTATCAGCAACCATATGACTAGTGTATTATACGTATGTTATACGTTTATCGCGATACATCGAATTTCCTACCAACTGAAACATGAGATAGCCTTATGCAGCACATTCGGTTGTTTGGAAGCATTATAAATGAGAGACTCAGCTGGATTCCAATTTTACCTCCCGTCAAATTCAAATTTGTATCGAATTCAGCGTATCTCTCTAAAGTAATATTTCTGTTCACCCAGCTAAACTAGAATGTTTCTCGAGACCGGGACTATTGTGGTGTATTGTACTTGTCCCACTGGGGTACTGTCTGATGAATTGAATACACGTTACGTAGATCTTTCTGCGATGTACCTGGTACGTCAGAACTTCCTATGGCTTCAACGGGTAGCAATCACTTAGCAGCACTGGTTCGTAACAAGTTTGTCGATAGCCCTTTTGACCTATCACTGCAGTGTGCGGTTTTACGTAAGCCAGCCCGTGGATGTCCGACTCCACGCACTTAGCTATCTATGTATTCAGTCTAATTGCCCAGTTCCACACAGATTTTAGTGACTTGATTCGAAAAAAATTGTTCAATTGCAGTTAATCTGGTCCGCATGGTCGTTCTGGGTATGTGCACTCTATGAGGTCGATCAATTTTGTCATCTAGACTAAACACTTCCGTAGTTGGGTTGGCACATTTTCATATAGCTCATATTAGTGTCCTTTCTGAACTTTGTACCATCTCTCAACTAATGTGTTCATGTGCTCACAATCAATGTTTTCTATCGTAGTGTCAACACCCGATCTTTGGTCAGTCAGTTTAATAATGTTTTTCGTTTTTTTGTCAAATGTCTGGAGGTTTGTGATGCAGTTGCACATGGGCTTTACTCTATTGGATGATCACGCTGTTAAAACTAAACTTACTCTGAACGACATATCTAGTGTTGGTAAACATCCCCGGGAAACTGTGATGTCCAAGTAATTATTTATGCTGTCAGTGGGGTCTACGTGTCCAGGGTTCAAATTCACAATTCCTTAACATCGCTCTATAATGCATCTTACGATACTCGTTTTTCCCACAATGGGTTTTCAAAGGAAAACAGTTTTGAGGAGACCAGTCTATCAAAAAAAAAACGAACCACGTGTTGGTTAAAATGGCATTTTTCTACTGGAGTCTTTGAATTCCACGGCCTCTCACTACAGTGGGCTCACATCTCTACCCCATGAAATTGCTGTCTTCTTTCCTTGAAACATGAATAACGTAGTTCACAGAATTGGGATTGTTTACGTCTACGTGGCTGTGTTTCATGAGCGCTTCGCTGAACGTGACATCTATCCAAACGATGACCGTATCTTGAACATCGTGTATCATTGCCAAGCTAGCGCGACTCGTCAGTGAATGTCGTGATATCTGACACGTAGCCAGTTGGTACTGAAATCCACAAGATCGCGCTTGCCTCATCGTATGTGACTTGCTAGTCATATTCATCTTTGAAATTTCACAGTGTGAGCTGTTTCACACCTGAACCACCAATCATCAGATATAGAAGGGGTCGGGGACCGGTGACTTGTGAAAAAATGGCACCAAGGCAACATCGTTTGGTTCTTCGCCATGTTACACCAAGGATTGCACTCACTCATTCAATGTGACACATCTGCCCAGCGTTGATGTGTATGTGGGACAAAAACATAACGACACATTTCCGGGCAGTCTCCTAGCCTATTCTCATGGCGACCCTAGATCATTGTTCAAAACTATGGTCTCATTTTGAGCGTTCCGCAGTCACCGTACGTCATAAACAAAGAATGCATTTAAATGTTTACAACCAACCGGACCAGGTAGTGACGTACACAAAGTTGCGGCTGCTTAAATAAGCATACTCATCAAGAAGACCTACTTATTTACAGCCATCCGATGCTCTTGAACAGTATGGTATAAACTCAGATATTTGTACTTGTGTCGTATGAGAAGTTTGAAAAAGGAACTGATCGTTTTGATTACATTGTTTCAAAACCGTGCATGCAAACTTATCCTTAGTCCTACCTGCTTAATCGGAGTTGTGTCCAGTGTGAGAGTCTGAAGAAACTAAGGAATTAGAAGCCGTTCTGAAGCACCACCTGTTCACTTGACCGTCAAATTAGGGTCCAATTAGAGATCTACGCACACTTTGGGTGCAGTCACGGTAACACGTTGCGAAAAGGATGCAAAACCACTACTTTGTTCTAACAAGCCGACATTCCATATTATTGTCTTTCGTATATTAAATCTCTATTGAGGTTCACTTGTGATGGAAGGTCATTTAGCAGTGTGCTGACCGACTCAGTTTCCTCAAAATTAGTGAACGAGTTTGTGCGAACTGATGCCCCCACAAGGTATTTAGTTTATGTCTGACGTTGACATTTTGTTTGAAGATGCCTCATTAGCGTGCGTGTGCCACCGGGGTACTCCACTCAACCTCAGTTTTGCGGAGAGAACATATTTTATCTTGCATTCTCAACTTCTTATAGTATACCATGTTGTTTGCTTGCTAAAGTAGGTCTTCTGGCGTGCCCTCCATATCACCGATACCCCAGCAGATGTGATCAGTTTTCCGAACCTGTGCATACGTTCGTTATTGGAAACGAAGTTTGGCTCCCCAGAACAACCAATCATGAAAAATCGAATTTCAAGTGAATATCTCAGACGTTAAAACTTACCACTTTAAAATGATGAATAATGTCCCATGTAGGCATCTTGGTATTCTAGATGTAGGATCCCCAATAACGTTCGAACCCCAATAATGCACTGATGATGTCCCTCGATTGGTGATGATTGCAATCAAATTGCCCAGCTCAACGAACCAGCGAACGACCATGTAGGATGAATCAGCCGTTTCATTCATCCGGATGACCAGTGCTAAGTGAACTACAGTTTCTGTGAACACTATCGTTACTTTGACAACTAGGTTTGGTAATCATGATTACGGGATTGAGCAACCCAAATTTTTTCCCGTGCCGTGCAGTACTATCTAAAACGAAGGTGGGTTTTTTTATATCAGACCGCCAGTGTCCTTTCTCTGTTGCTCTATGCCTCCATTTCCTCTTTTTCTAGACACCTTCTGCGAGTGCATCTCGCCCGTGGTTTGCTGTTGATCCTTCTGCTGTGCTTCCTACATTCAGCAAAGTTGTTGCCAAAGATTGCGCCTTTACAGAATGGTGGACGTTTCGTTTCAGCTATTCCACCCGGTTCGAATGGCCTGTCATATGACCATCCTGTCTCCGTCTTCAAGACCGGAAACCCTAGTTGCTCGCACGCGTTGGAAATTTGGACATGCACTACATTAGTCCTGTTACCGTTGCTTGGTATCATGGTCTTCTTGAACGAAGTTCACATTCTACCCATGTTCTGTATTACCATCTCGGTTGTGGTCTATGCCATTCTTCATTCGTCTTCTCTGTCTACCGTCTCCGATCGAAGTATGTGTTACAATGTGATATATTTCATTCCTGCATGTATGAGAATCGTTGATTTGCCTTTGGGGCCTTTGGTCACCTTACCCATAAGATCGTGCCATCCTCGATTCTTGGCCGCTATTCTGATTCCTAATAGCTGATCTTCTATTCCACGTTCTGTTGCCTCCAGTAACCATAAGATTCGTCCATTGTTTTCCTAATAATGACTGCTTTATGTGCTTATTTGATAGTTGATTTTCGGTTTTGTTTTGTAGCTGATGTCTCACGTCGTTCCATACTGGCTGCTTCGTGGCACGTGGTCGTCTTTATCTGTTTATTGGACAACCTGTCCTTCTACGTCACTGGACATCAACCGACAATAGCAGGCATTCCGTGGGAGGCAGCATTTGCGGCCTATGCTGGTGATCATCAGACGCGGGTACTTCCCGCTTTCATGGTCATGCTTCACCTGTTCGCTGGCCCAATTCTGCTGGCACTCAGTTTACCCACATTTATCGTGATTTTCTTCAAACCTAAGTTGGCAGGAGTTTCGAGCTCCGTGGGCGGATGTTCACTACCTGGGGAATTGGTGACCGTTCAGCTGGAACTCCTACATATCTCCCGTGCCACCGATGTACTATTCTGGCGTTTTTTCACTGCAAAGTCAATTTTGGTGAGCTTTTCATTTAGCTTTCTTCGTTTTGCGAATGTTTCTATACCAAGTGTCTCAGGCGGATGAACAAAGTGGGCATTTTCTGTATGAGTGCTTGCCTTGAGATTCAGAGTTCAACGCAGCCTTGTGTACCCTCGTAGAGTTTCAGATTTTGTAACATAATTTGAGGCTTGATGTGGACGAGTGTAAAAACTCTACGGATGTGTAGTACCGCCAGTCTCCAAGCTTACGTTGTTAGCTTTGCTCAACAAAGTCCAACGCTGAAAGTTCGGTATCTCGTCGCTACTTTGGAAATCAGGCCATCGTGTGAGAATCCATTTATTGTCTCATATTTTCCAGTTTCAACGGAAATGGAAGCACGATATAACATATTGGCATTCCGTCACGAAGAGACTGGACCTTATCGTGGTGTGGCGGTTTGTGTACCTCGGCGACCCATTGAGCTATACTGGGGGGTGTCCGCGCGACACTCACAGAGTCTCTCATACCAGGTTGGTCA